CTTAGAAGTCTGGTAGAGCCACAGCTGGACGAGGCCCAGTGCGGCTTCAGAGCAAACCGAAGTACTCAAGACCTTATCTTCACACTGAGACAGATGAGTGAAAAAGCCCTGGAATATAAGAGTGAGATTCACTTATGTTTTTTGGATCTGGAAAAGGCATTTGACAAGGTACCCTGGAACAAGCTCTGGGACTGCTTGGCAGGGAAAACATCCCAGCACCCCTGATCAGTGCAATACAGAGTTTCTACAAAAAGTGCAGAAATTATGTAAGAACAGCAGACCAAAAGTCAGAAGAATTTAAGACCACCAGCGGTGTTAGACAAGGTGATATTCTCTCACCTTACCTCTTCATTCTTATGATGGATGATGTCATCAAGACCTGTAAGGAGAAGACAAAGAAGTACTCTGTAGGGTACTGGAAGATGAGACCAATCTGTATATCAGAGCTGGCTTTTGCAGACGATGTGGCCCTGATAGCTAAATCAGAGGCACACCTTCAGTACAACTTACTTGTCTGGAAGGAAGAGCTTGAAAAGAAAGGGATGACCATCAGTGTCTCCAAAACTAAAACCATGGTGATCTCAAGAGAGGAGAAGAAACACACCAGATCATGATGGGTCAGTATGCGTTGGAGCAGGTTAACCAGTTCAAATACCTTGGAGTTGTATTAGACCAAAATGGAGGCATTAAGACTGAGCTGGCTACACGAAAAGCAGCTGCTGGGAGACTCTTCCAGGCCATAAACCGAGGGTTTCTTAGCAAAAGAGAAATTGGCAAGAGGACAAAAATGGCTGTTTACCGCTCTACCTATGTACCAGTCCTGACCTATGGGTGTGAGTCATGGGCAATGACAACAGCTCACAGAAGCCAGCTGCAGGCCTCGGAAATGAGATACCTGAGAAAGGTGGTCCAAGTGACAAGAAGGGACAAAGTCCGCAATCAGACAATACGTCAAGATCTTGATACCCAGCCCTTACTAACCCGAGTGGATCAGTCACAGTTACGATGGTTTGGACATGTGTGCAGAATGGGAGAAAATCGGCCACCATGGCAAGCATGGGAGGCTAAGAACCAGGGAACCAGACCTCCGGGACGACCCAGGGTGCGCTGGGAAGACAACATCCGACAGTCCCTGACTGACAGAGGACTGGAATGGAACAAAGCCAGAAAGAAAACTGCTGATAGAGACGTCTGGCGATCTCTCTGGCAAACCTCTACACCCCAAGGTAGAAGAGGAGCGACTAAGTAAGTAAGTAAAGAGTCAGCGTCGCCCGAGTGGGAAGCATGAACCTGTGATGTGCCGTGTCTTATTCTAAATTGGATTATTTTAACAGAAAATTTGTGAAAAATGGCTTCGGTATTGATACGACCCGAACTAGCATCTCAAGGTATGTCTTTTCATGTAGTATTATTTCATTTAGGGGTCTGAAAAGTGTAGAAATGGCGAAGAGGCCGATGGAACATGTACATTATGCTGTATGTTTAGAGCGGCCGGGTGTCGTCTGCTTGGTTTTCCTAGTTTGTGGACGGCTTGACAAAAATGATTCGATCGCGTGGTGGGGCCATTTATTTGATCTTTCTGTCTGTCTGATTCTTTGTTTGTCATATGTGGTCGAATTGTTAATAAAGCGGGTGCTTTTCACGCAAATGTAATTGCTGTATGACTCCATTATGCGGAAAATAAAACTAAGCAGAAGCAAGAAGCAATAAATAAATTATTAAATGGTATAAAGTATTAATAACCGTATATTTATTCTCAGTCTACCCGATCTACCCGTATTCAAATTATACAAAGATCCACAATATTTCAATAAATAAATCCATAATTTTATATCAATATATGTAATAAATTTATAGATTTATATTCATATATTGTGAATTAAGGAGGTATCAAAATTATAGTTTATAGTTTTACGAATGTATGCCTGTATCACTATATGGTAACAACAGGGATTGCCACCTGTTTCAAAGAACATGTCTTCTCATTGGACGTCTTTTGTCCCCTCACAGTCATCACAAATCACTGGATTGGATTGAGTCTGCTAAATGAAACGCTCATATTTTGATAAGGAAAGCCAGTAAGGGATTGGTTCTCTTTACGCCTCTCATTTCACATTCCTATGACAGCTGAATCTATAATCATAATAACAAAGAAGGCTGGTTGGGTACGATTATGAAAGAGATGAATAAAAATTCTTTCTTTCTCATTTATTCCTATTATTACTTTTCTCATTTTTTCTAGTGAGTAGTTTTATAGGTAATATGGTAATAATTTTATAGGATCTCTTCTGATTGTGTGTGTGTGGTGTTCAGTGCATTAAAAGATTTGATGTAGTAAATATGGAACATAGTACAAAACACGTCTTTTTCTTAAAGTACATGCTGTGTGGCCTTGGTAGTCATGTCTACTTACATAGTTCTGTCTCGTGTTTTTTCAGTCAACTCTAACACAAATGATCCTCCGTGTCATGATGTGAAACTGTGTAGCATTTTTCTCTCTGTCTCCCTCTGCCTCTCCTCTCCACCAGCTTTCCTACTGTTACTGTGTACTTCACTTTCCTCCTCATCACATGAACACAGAATTTAGATAATCTCATTCTGATGTGGGTAATCCTCTAGGTGAGTCAGTTTCTTTCAAGACATCTTCATTACTCTTTTGTGTAAAGGTATTCTTATCATTCGTCTAAAAAACCCTATCTTCGCATCTTACAAATAAGTTTTCACTTATTTACCAACTGTCTATGATTCACTTCTCTATATATCAAAATATCATTTATACAGCTTTTAAGAATTCTCTTTTTCGTCACGACTTATGGTTTATGGCTTATACAATGGATCAACATCATGGCATAAGGGTAGTAACCCAAAAGTTCTCCGTTCTATTTCTAACTCAAGCCTGAGCCTGATGAATCTCAGAACAGTGCACAAACTCCGTAGCTCCGGTGAGGATCCTGATATACTTTACTTTAACTTGAAATGGAGTAACCAATCTTGATCACACATGTGCAAATTTGTGTATACAAACAGAGGATGAACAATCAAGTTTTACTATATTTTGGTACCATCATACAATAAAAATTATCCAGAACAGAATAGCTTTAATGATTTAAGCAATAATATTTACATTGTTATTATTATCACTTACTGCCTATTCAAAACTGACCCACTCATAAGTTAGTTGGTATCCCATATTGTGTAGAATTTTCTGGGAAGATTGGGAAAGTGGAATTGCTATTTCACTCATTATTTTGTAGCCTTAGAGTATCGGAACACCAAATAAGGAAGTATCTGAAATAGAACTTCCTTTTCCCATGTGGGTTCTGGGACCCGATTGTGGGGTAAACAAGAATAGACTCACTGATTCCCCAACAAGCATGTCGTAGGAGTCAACTAATTAGAGGCTTCCGTCAAAGTCGGAGTGCAACTGCACATGAATAAGCCAGTAGAACTGATGTACTCATAAAACTCAGACCCTGACACAAAGTCAAAGTCAAAATGGATGAATAACCAGGAGTTTCCGCCAGAGCTCACCACCGGTGAACAAGAAAGAAGAAGGTAGCTCAGCCACTAGTAGGATCTCCTGTGTTGGACAAGTTAGTGGATGGAAACCAGAGAGATACAGATCTGCTACCTTGTAAGTAAACAGGAGGCAATCAGAGTAGGAAAGGATACCTCCAGAAATGCTTGTCCAAATTAAGTGCTAAATGCAACATAAAATGCGACTAGAACGCTTCATTGAGGGAATGGAAACAACATGCACTAACACAACTGAACATTCCAACCAAAGTCTTTATCAGAGGAATACTAAATAACACAGACTATGACTGGAAAATTCAAAGGACAAGACAATAGAGCTTCTAAAAATACCAAGGTCGACATGAAACCAAGAAATATGTAATGGAGGGAAAATATGGATGTGAATTTCTAAATTAACGAAACAAAATAAGTAAGAAGGCATCTGAAAAAAGAGGGGAGAAATATAAATAAGTTAAATTTGTGTCAGTTGCACTGAGCCATAGGCTAGATAGAACAGTGCACCATAGCTTGCTTAGTGAGGATAAGACAGTGTTGGATTTAGGTTTAAGCTAAAAGAGGTGGAGCTTAGGGCCTCACCATCCAGAGGGGCCTAAAAATGTATATTGATCTTTACAAATGCAATACCCCCCACCCCCATTATTATTTCTTTCAAGAAATATTAACCATCAGAATATTCCCACCAGATTACCAGATTCCCATTATCCATATATTTAAAACGTGTATATATGTGTATATATATATATATATATATATATATATATATATATATATATATATATATATATATATATATATATATATATACACACACACACACACACAGCATCATCATCTTGTGCCCTGCCAGCTGGCGTAGGCGCTCATGCGTCTCCACAGATAACGATCCCTGGTTGCCTGGAACGGCTCTCTTGATGATATCCCTCCATGCCATCGTTTTAGCCCATCCAGAATTTCTCTTGGTCTGCCGCTACCTCTTTTCCACTGATCTTTCCAGTTGTCACGATGTTCTCCAATACCTCTCTTCTCATTATGTGGCCAAAGTACAGTGTTATATATACACAAACACATATATATATATATATATATATATATATTTGAAAGCTTTTTCTGAGATTAGCTTGTGTAAAATGAAACAATAGGGGTCTCAGGGCTTTATATAACTTAGGGCTTCATCACGTTTAAATCTGACCCAGTGATGAGACAGGTCAGTTATCATTCATTTCCATCTGGGAAGGCTAACCTGGTCAACAAATGCCCGCAGAAGTCGGATGTGTTGGCCGAAAGGTGCAAATATCGCAGCCATGCTGTAAACAGACACAACGCAGTTACATCTTCGGATGAACGCAGAAGAAGAAGAAGATTCATTTCCATTGTCGAAATCCAGTTTGTCATGCTTCATTTGTCATGTTTCTTTGTCTTGTTTCTTTGTCATGTTTCTATCATGTATGTTTATCTGTTTCCAGGTTCGCGGCCGACAGATGGAGTCCGGGATATGATTCTGATTAGTGATATTGACGAGAATGGTATTAACACAAACCTCAAAGTTCGCTACCAGAAGGATCTTATTTATGTATCCTTGACCATGTTATTTTTTATTATGTCTTCTTCTTTCTTTCCATTCCAATTTTGTAAATTTTGTGTAGGTTAATCTTAGGATAAACCTGGCATAATGCATCACTGTCTTACTATGATTCCCTGTCTGGGTTTTTGGGCCCCTTTATGGGGAAAACAAGAATAGACGACCCACTGACTCCCCGAAAGCATGTTGTAAGAGTCAACTAACTGGGGGCTTCCTTCGAAGTCAGAGTGCATCTGCCTGAGAATCAGTGAACCAACAATCTGCATAAAAATAAGTCAGATCTGTAAAATGGATATGCACTCAACACTTAGGAGGTTCAGAACAGGACCAAAGTCCAGAGATGGATGAACAACCAGAAATTTCAGCCAGAGTTTACAGCCGGTGATTGCGAAGAAAAAGAAGAAGATTACCATAATGTGTTGTAATTCAGTATATGCTAGTTAAACTCAAAATTAACCCAGTATATTGCATCACAGTTTATTACCATACTGAGTAACAATTTAGTATATGCAAGTTCAACTTAAAATTAACCAAACATATTGGGTCACATTTTTATTGAAACTGCATGACGTTTCCAGAACACAAACCAGAAAGAATTTACAGTTTGTTGTAGGCTGCACTAGTTTGTCTATGTTTGTTTATGATCAGCAGTATAAACCGATTGTGTTTAAATAACAACCTGATGTTTGTCATTCAGGAGTCTTTCTCTCTACTCAGGATTTTATCAGTGTCAGTAATTTTCAGATTTTGTTTTATGTGCCAGTACTGCTTGAGTTTATTAGGAACGACTGGTGGGTGTCTTCCTACAGGTGATATAGTTTTATAGTTTAACATAGCTGCTGAGGTGTTGTCCCATAACTGCTGGGGTGTTGTCCCATAGCTGCTGGGGTGTTGTCCCATAACTGCTGGGGTGTTGTCCCATAACTGCTGGGGTGTTGTCCCATAACTGCTGGGGTGTTGTCTCATAGCTGCTGGGGTGTTGTGCCATAACTGCTGGGGTGTTGTGCCATAACTGCTGGGGTGTTGTGCCAGTTACTGAGTTGTCTTACAGCAGCTGAGGCATCGTTTCTTTGTTACTGGGGGAGGATGTGGGGGGGGGGGGGGCTGCATGGTCTTGAGATACGGTGTCCGCCTTGATTGCCGGGGGTCCCGGATTCAGGTCCGGTGAAGGCTGAGATTTTTTTACGTGGACTTCTAGTCAGATCGGACACCCTTGTGTATTGCTACACATGTTTTAAAAAAAAACCTTGACAGCTGGAAATAGAAAAGAATCGCCTAACGGCGCTGTCCGGGCAAAATTTTGAGTTAAAAATCTACCCAGAGTATTTTCAGGATCCTCGCTGGTGCTACGGAGTTCGTGCACTGCGCTGAGATTCTTAAGACTCAGACTTGAGTTAAATGTAGAGCGGAGCACTTATGGGTTACCACCCGTGTGCCATGATGTTGATCTGTTGTTTAAACACAAACAGAATACTGAGGTGCTCAAAAGCTACTGATATGTTGTCCCATAGATACTGATATGTTGTCCCATAGATACTGATATGTTGTCCCATAGGTACTGATATGTTGTCCCATAGATACTGATATGTTGTCCCATAGATACTGATATGTTGTCCCATAGATACTGATATGTTGTCCCATAGATACTGATTTGTTGTCCCATAGGTACTGAGATATTGTCCCATAGCTACTGATATGTTGTCCCATAGATACTGATATGTTGTCCCATAGATACTGAGATGTCCCAAAGTTTCTGAGGTCTACTTTTGGCAGCCTATTTCTTATGTAGGTATTAGATTTCTCTTACTCTCTCTGAGGCAAACATTATGCTTGTCAGTATAGCTGTGGCTTTTGTGGGTTTTCTCATAAAGTGTCCAGAACAGAGGAGACGCGCTATTTTTTTTAGATCCTATGTGTGGTTTCTGGGCCCTATTTTATGGGGGAATGGGGGGGGGGGCATGTCTAAAAAGTGATTATTGAAGAGTCTTCTTGAAAACAGATATGACAACTTAGCCATAAACCACAACACAATGTACCAACCATCATTGTAACTCGGTGCCGGTGAAGAAATATCTTGGTCTTCCCCGTTTTCTTTGTCCTTCCGGTGTCCATATGAGGTCTTCTTGGGAAAGTCTTGTCTTATCCATTCTGACTGCATGGCCAATGTATTTCCAGCGGCGCTTTCTTATAAAATTGGATTCATTTTCTTGGTTGGTCTCTTGTCTTATTTGCTTGGGGAAGGGGGGTTTATTGTTTTTCCTCCTGCATTGGAGACCCTGGAACCCACACTGCGAGCCTGTAAGGCTAATCATACCTTGAAATGATGGGGTGTTTCTGTTTGTGCTCCAGGATCTATTCTTTCCTTGTTTTCATCTTCACGTGCAGCATCCTTGCGGGCTGTTTCATTTCCTGGTAAACCATTGTGTTCTGGTATTCATAGTTTGCTTGTGCGGATGTTGTAAGCCCCATTTGTGAATTAGTCTTCCTGTTGTGTATCATCATATCTGTTTAAGTGTTTCCAAGGCCGAACATGAGTCACAGCATATATCCGATCAGCTTACTTTAACTCTTTCTCTACCAAGCAACTCATTATTTAAAAAAACAATTGTTGTGGCGCCTCCTAGTCCTCAGGCTCAAAGACCTCCCTGCCATCACTGCAGATGTTAAATACAGTCTGTAATGTAGTTTATGCAATCTTTCTTCGTCAATTGAGACAAGGAGAATAATTCTTCAGGGCTATTTAAATCCCATCGTAATATACGGATGTGAATCATGGACAGTTAGTCAATTAGTGAAAAAGTATTTGGAAGCTGCGGAGATGTGGTCTTAAAGACCAATGATGAGAATACATTGGACAGATAAAAAGAGTCATAAAAGAAACTGACTCCCGAAGAGAACTGATTGCCCGCATCAGAAAAGAGACAATCTACATTCTTTGGTCATGTGATGAGAAGGAGAAAACTGTAATACATCGTGGCAGTAGGAAAATTTGGGGGGAAGGAGAGGCAGAGGAAGACAGGAGAAAAGATGCTCGACAGTTTGACATCATGTCATAAAGGATCATCTGTGTCAGAGTTGATTGAAAGTACACAAGACAGAAGAGATGATCAACTTCATTGCACTGAGTTTTGTTCCATATGGTTTAGCCTCTCTCCGCATAACAGGTAGCTTTCTGCACAGAGCACTGCCTCCGTAGCTCCGGGGACGATCCCCAGGGATGTCCGTAAAAATTTTACTCGTGAACTGACAAGCCCCGCATTAAAATGAACCCACAACCTTCAGAGCTCGAGGCAAACGGCTTGACCACTTCACACAGAGACCGAAGGTTGTGGATAGACATGACTACAAACGCCACACGGCATGGACTTTGAGAAGTAGAATGTGTGTGTGTGTGTGTGTGGGAGAGGTCTCCACTGTGAATGTTGGCTGCAGTGTACCACTTGTGACTTTGGAATATTACACAGTGACGGCCCAGTCTCTTCCTCGGTGCGACTCTCATACTACTGCCAGAGAACCATAAGAACATTTACTAAAAACTTATCTTCCGCAGAAATCACACCTCTATAGTCAAATGTTATAAAATTTGTTAAACATATTCACTAACCTCTAATCCACATGGATGCACTCCGTATCTTTTTCTTTTTTCGATCTTTCCCAACCCTGTGAGGCTCATTTTTATGTTAAAAATAATCAGTCAGTCTCGATTTGTTTGAGGTTTTGAACAAGGGATCAACATCAAGGCACGCGAGAGACTGACTGAGTCCGAAGAAGCTCAGCACAGTGCATGGACACTGTAGCACCGGCGAGGATTCTGAAATACTTTGGGTAGATGTTGAACTCCAAATTTTGCTCGGGCAGCGCCGTTAGGCTACTCTTTTCGATTTCCAACTACCAAGGGATTGTTTACGTAAGCAGCAATGCACACGGGCGGACCGATCTCACTACCCAAAGACCTGGGGGGGGGGGGGGGGAAGGGGGAATTACTAGAAGTCCAAGTCCGCGTGAACAATCTAGCTCTTAACAGGGATTAAACCCAGCATCTGTCAGATTTTTTATTTGCATTAGAATGCCGAGTTGTAGCGAAACCCTCCGTTATTTAGATTTTATACATTTACCCTTTTCACGATCAGCGTTCGTTCCTCTTATCCGGTTTCAGTTTCAGCACGTACTTTTGCTCACTTCTAGTCTCCCTACTCCAGACTTCGGCACCAAACCCAGTTGTTTAATCTAGGTCTCTGATTACGCTTGACATTCTTGATGACCTCTTTACAATACGGGACGCCTGGGAGAGGCGGGCGGCCTGGTGTTGACTAGCATGACACAGTTGTTGCAGATAAACTCATAAAAATATACTCTGTGTTTAAACACAGAAAGGCGAGGTAATCTGGTAATCCTAGTTTCAGCTTCATAGCAAACGGGTCACCCCATAGTTGCTCCGCTCCTGTGCCAACGAAAAACACACGTAGCTCACAGTGTCACACCATGCACTCAACTCAGAAGCTGGGCGACGAAACTAACGAAAGGCGAGGGTAGTCTTGTAGTCGATACTGTCGTAGTGTATGTGTGTATAATCCCCGTTTTAGCTTTTTAATCTGGCTCTCTGTATGTGTGTGTGTGTGTATGTATGTATATACACACATTTATATATGTCTCCGTGGTGTAGCGGCTAGACGCTCGCCTGGGGATCGGAACGTCGTGAGTTCGGGTCCTGACAGAACAGGTCTTTCTTTAAAAAAAATGACCTTGGCTCCCAGGTCAATCCAGCCTTGAGTGAGTACCAGGGGCAGTCATGTGAAGTATAAGCGGCCGGCGTGATGTTGACTACATCACCCACCAAATGCCGATTGGTCTATACAACATAGGTTTAGCTCTATATGCCCATATAGCCTAAAGGCGTGGAAAAGGGCTCTTTACTTTGTGCTTGCTTATATATACATACATATGTATATATGTATGTATGAATGTGTATATATATATATATATATGTATGT